CATCTTGGTATGATTTTATTTAAATGTCTTTGCAAAAGGTTCATTTTTCTTGGAAATGTGGTATTATAAGTTGAACTGAATTCAGAAATTTTAAATCTTTAAGAAAAAAATGCTTGAAACTATTGTTTGAAGCAAGGTACAATTCCCCTATGATGAATGCTATCACTATGTATATATAAAATGTACCAATAAAAAAATTCATGGAAAAAAAATCTTTTCCCAGTAAAAAAAATGGGGTTTTGGGTTGTAGAGATAGCTGGGCAGTCTAAGCATGTGCATGGTAAGGGCAAGGGCAAGGTTCTGAGTTTGATCACTGGTACCACATGCCATATGGACCCTAGAATCCTGGGTGTACCATGCTGGTCCTGAAACTGGGTGTGGTGGTGCAGGCCTGTAATCCCAGCAATGGGGAGGCTGAGATAGGAGAATAATGCAGCGAAACATTGTATTAAAAAAAAGGAGGGGGGGCTTTTAGTGGGATGATCCTGCTTTTCCTTCAGAGGGAAAACTAAGCATCTTATTCCTAAGCAACTGATACACAGGAGCAGGTAGGTACCTTGGGCCTAAGCTGGTGAGCAGGTTCCTTTTGGCTGTTTTGAAGAGCAAGGGCCAGCAAGATAACTCAGTGGCCTAAAGCTCCTCCTTAGGCAAGTGTAGGCACTGCGGTTCAATCCCTGGCATCCCATGCCATGTCAACCCCTCCCCCCAGGCCCAGGTGCCCCAAGTCAGCCACCAAGTAGGTGTGGTGACACATGCCTGTGATCTCAGCACTGGGGAGGCTGAAAACAGGAGGATCACTACAAGTCCGAGCTATGTAGTGAGACCCTGTACCAAATACATTAAAAAAATAAAAATACACAAAATTTCAAAACAAGATAATAGGGGAGTAATGATGGTTAATACATTGCATATTATTTTACTCAAAGTATAAGATATATGCATTTAATTATCCAAACAATATTAGCACAAACTGTTTTCAATAAACTAAATTAGTAGTATAATGATCTTAACTATCGTGTATGTGTGTGTGTGTGTGTGTGCGCGTGTGTATGGTTTTTTTGGGGGGTCAGGGGATGACACATTTCCCTTCCTTTTTTCCCTTCCCTCAATTCCAGTTTCTCTTTCCTTTTGAACAGTTTCTTCACATTTCACAGCATCTGTTGTATATTTTGGATCTTATTCACTTTCAACTTCCCTCATTAGGGAGACAACACGATGTTTATACATGTGAGTCTGGTTTATTTCACTTATGAGTATGGTCTTGAGTTGTATCCACTTATCTAAAAAAAGTCTCTTTTTATTCATTTCTTGGTTGATGGGCATTTGGTTGTTTCCATGATCTAGCTATTACAAATTGTGCCATTAACATGGGTACACATATATCACTGCTGTACTATGTTTTTAATTCTCTAGGAAGATACCCAGAAGAGGAATAGCTAGGCCAAATGGGACCTCTAATCCTAGACTTT